TGTGAAAACCAGCCTTTAGAAACGTTGTTTAACTAGACTTCTCCATAAATATTCCATCAACCAACTCATTTATCCGTCTCAGCCAATATGCATGTCTTGAGCCACACATGAACCAGAAAAACTTTGCTTTTAATTGTCTATTAAAGTGTTACAACGTGTGGTGTGTCCCTTGATGATATGAAAAAGAGAAAAAATTGCTGCGGTTGGTGATACTATGCGACGAGTTAAATGAGCTTGAAACTGTTTCTTGCTATTTTAAAAAGTTAGTGTCCTTTGAAAACTAGTCCTTTTAGGATAAGCACTATAAATGGGTGCAAAGGTGTCCGTATGTGAAGGTAGATGGAGATCATATGAATTCTGATTTTTCTGGCAGCAAGTGAACTTTCTGTTATATGGAGGTGTCTCTAGCTGTCTGTTGACATTGAGCTTGTTGGTCAATTGATGGTTACAGGGATCCATATTCGCAGTCGTGCGGTCGTCCGTGACGACTAAAAATTCGCAGGGACGACCAAAACAATACGAAAACTCGTCCGCTAGACGAGTTAAGTTTGACTGTACCAGAAAAAAGGAAACAAAAATTCTTAAATTTTCTTATGAGTTCCCTGCATTGTGACCACTTGTCATCCATTTGAAACTTTAAGAACGCAGAGAGAGATTTGCAGTTTTCTTACGGGTAAATATGTCATCTGGCATACTTACCCGACCGACGACTTGGAGGAAAAACCAATATGGATCCCTGTGGTAAACTCGATCCATCAGGAAAATCACCATCCAGATATAGGATTACTAGCGTAGTTGATTTGTTGCTGGATATTGACCTTTCGATGGATAGCGTTATCCATCAAATAACGACTGACCCTGTTGTACAACTGACTTTCCTTGTTCGCTCTACAGGAGAATTTGCTCTTGGAACCCATGTTTGATGCTCCAGGCTCCAACATCCGGGCAGTTTTCGTAGACGAACACGTGGTCGAAGGGAACAAAAAGGCTGAATACGTCATGGCCCCTGAAGAAGAGGCTCCTAGTGCGGATGCAAATGAAGAGGAGGAGGAAATCTATGCTGGGGACGCTAGTTCACGAGTGTAGAGTAATAAATTAAAATTGAACGTTCATAAATACTGACTGTAACTCATGGCATCAACAGTAGACGCCCAAAATAATCACACTGTGGATTGGTTTATAATTCAATAACTAATTGTTATTACATACAAAAGTTTCTAACACCCAACAGATATTTCAGAGAAACGCCCATCACTTGATAGCCTGTGTTTTATGTAACTCAGTAAAGCAAACCAGCTGTTAGTTCTGAACACATCAAAGCTTTTACTGAAAGAAATTTGTCCTTGCTGTGTTGTTGTACTCGTATCGTAGTTGTTACAGTGTTTTCTGAGTTTTTATCTTTTGGTACGTGATGGGAACTTCCTGAAAATATAACAAGTAACTATAGTGTTGGGCTATGTATTTTGAAGGTTTTTTTTCGTATGGAAGCATCTATTGCACATAGCTTGTGTACAAAAATGAGATTATGATTTGATAGCTGAATGTATAAAGACCTCACCTTTTACGTGAATAAATGTATTTGACTGACATCAAAGCTCTTGTACTCATTTAGAGTGACCTATTGTTTTCATAACTGGTTGCATTACGTGTTTACCCTTAAGTGGAAGTAGTAAAATATCTATTACCCCAGACTTACGTAAAATTCTAGTCATGTAGGGCTGTTAGCCTTTTTAGGTCCCGAGTATTTGGATGCTCGGCACAAATCTGCCCAGGTTGCCTAGTTCCTAGGCCTCAATATTTTGCCACGGTCAATCGTTTTCGGTTCACGTGACCCGAGGCGCAAAGTCCGGGTCGTTCGTCTTGAAATGTCACCAATTGACCGTGAAGGCCTGAGAGAAAGCCCTACTGGAACTAGGCAAGGTACCAGGGATCTCACGATGACTGAGGTTCGTCTGATTAACTAGTTTAAATGGATACAGCATGCTGGTAAATACTGTACCGCTAGGCGGGCCGACTGACCTTGGAGGATTTAACAGTCTGAGAACACGAACCTCGACTCTTCCATGTCTTTCATGCCAGGACTCCCGCAAACGAACAACAAAGCACATGATACTACTGCTAACGATACATTCAACCAAACACCTTTTAAGACACCACATCAAACCTGGCTCAGGCTGACATTCAAATACCTGTCTAGCCATGCTTTCATTTGCTTTAAGCCCTCTTTACTAGGCCTGGAAAACCAAGGGTCACAGTTGGACCAGCTAGACTTAAAAACAGCAAAAAACTGATGCAACGCTATTTAAAAACCTTAAGGATTTGCCCTAAATATTTCTTGAAATTGGCCCACAAATAAACGTTGTGACTTATTAAAGATTTCCTAAACGTCCGCCGAGTAAACGAATTATGTGTTGACTGATTCCTATGTGCACCAAACGTTTGAACCTTTAGGTTGAAATTACCTGCACACCGGGCTCGGTAAAGGGATATTGTTCACAAAGTGGGTTTTATCGACCACCGCGTGCCAAGATTATTTCAACGAAAAGTTTCAAACGGTCCGTACGCAGAATCAACGCAACATTCGACTGGTCTCGTAGAAAGGACTTGTAAGAGTTACGAGCTAAAAACTCTAAGTTAACTAAGTTACTATTGTTAGAAGAGCAAAAAGTGGCTATAAGTTATCGAGAACCCAATCTGTTTCAGATCTGAAAACTTTTGCTAATCCACATTTGTAAAAGTAAAATTAGTTTGTCAGTAACACGTATGTTTTTGTTTTACGACATTTTTTTTTTCGTTTGCTGCTTCTTCGCGTGCTTAGCGATGTGCCACACTTCCGTTTTGGATCTCGCAACCCTAAACTATGGTTAATGGGTAAAAATTATGTCAGTTTTAGCCCTCCATCAAATCTCCACACCTGCCTTTTACGCGTTGCATTCTATCGACTTGGAAAGTCTTTGTGTTGGAGATTCTCGCCAATGTCATTTTTATTTCTTCTTCTGCGCCTTTACGCCCTTACCGATGTGCCACAGTCGCAATTTTGCTCTCGATATCCTAATCTATGCTCAATAGGTTTTTTGAAAGATGCCAGTTTTGACCCTCCGTCAAATCACCATTCGTGTGTTATACCCATAGAATTCTGAT